TTTGGCGGTAAAGTATTACAACCTGTATGTACTTGCTCAATAATTTTCAAGTGTACATCTTTCATATCAAATTCATTTGCACAAATTTCTAACATTGTATTTAATGTATTTTCATACATTATTAAAAGATCATCAGTAAATGAAGACTCTCTAAACAGTGGTTGATTAATGGATTCATGATCTCTGATTAGGTCATCAAGAGAGGTTGGAATAGTAAATTGAAATACCATTTGTAATGTTGCATGTGATGTTTGTCATGTAACATCAAAAATATTGCCATATGAGAATGTAGAAGCTTTAAAATCGATGTTTTCAATTACCGCTAAATTCCAAATATTTGGTCCTTCAATTAAATTCTCCTTAGAATTTGTATGAAGCATTCTAATTTTTCAAGCTGATTTTCATGCCGTTTAGTATAGGATATAATACATGCAGAATGAAGAATTTCTCGTAAGTATAGAAACAGTTTTGGCTTCTGGCATATTGATGATATAATATGTGAAAGCCAGATTTTCATTCCAGGAAAAGCAATGGTCAGTATCATGGAGATTAATAAGGCAGTTGTTTTTGATATTTGATTTGTATTGATTGATTTCGGATGAAGTCCACATTGGTACCTTTTTTTATTAATAACATTTTGTTTTTGTTGTTGTAGTACTGTAATGAATGCATGAAAAAAACTACAAATTATTTTAGGCAATGCATCAAAGTAGCTTTCATATGAGTTTGGATTTTCCAATTGGCCAATATTTTGTTGAATTTCAAAATGTGAAAATAAGACCTCTCTTTCTAATTCATCTCCCATATTCGAAGCTTTGTCTAGAGTCACTATGTGAGTCCTTTCATTTATTAACTTATTTAGTTCAAATTTTCCCATTTTCAATGCTGTTCTAACAAGTAACTTGCTTAGAAGTTTTGATGCTTTCATTTCTGATAGATTTTTTTCTATCACTTCATTATTAAAAATAGTCAATGTAGGAATTATTAGAGATAGGAGTTTTTTTTGTAACTAATTGTCACCCGACTCTGCTACTAATATTATCCACATTCCAATATATTTTAGAGCATCACCTGTATCATCACAATGTTTTCCATGTTC